CTCGATATCCCTTGTCCAGCTTGGCGGCCAGAACCGCACCTGGCGCTCCGGGTCCTGTGGACGTTCCACGGATTTCTGTAAGGGCACCCCGTGCTGGCAGCTGCATTCCTGCCCCTTTCCTGATGACCCTGGCACGGCCTCTGCCCTCCCTTTCCACGGCTGCCGCGACAAGGCCGACATCTTTGCCGAGGTGGCCACGTTCACCCCGAGACCTTTGAGCTACAGACGGCTCTGACCCCATCGAACGTGTGCGTGAGGTTAAGGGCTTTTGCCCAGCGTGCGTCAGTTTCTTACGCGAACTGAATTGCACAGGTCGTTAGTTGAACCCAACACCTACTTTAGAAATGCTTCCGGATCTCTTCAAGGCACCTGGGGATGAGCACCTCAAATGCTTCTGGTACCATCTGCCAACTTGACCACCTTGCTGCTGCCCCCAGAGTTAAGACCACTGAGGGGCAAGCTCAAAAGCACCGGTCCCCACGTGGATCGCCAATGCTGGCTTCCCTCCTTCGAGGAATCTGGTTGGGGGTTTCCTTGCTCGGCAGCGAGACGCTTGGGGTCTGTTCCGGTCCCAGGGAGCTCGCTGTGGTTTTCGTTTCAGTTGGTTGTGGGAGGGAGACTTTGGGAGGCACCCGGAGCATGGCTCCCCTCAGAGCGAAGAGGAGTGAACCCGGCGGGGCTGAAGCCTTGGCGAGGCGGCTCTGTCGCTGGCCAGAAATCCGGCGCCTGGTGAGCAAGGGTTGGATTTTAGCCAACGAGGCTCGCTGCCCTCTTCTTTGGAGGCCTTTCTTCCAAGTTGTGGCAGGCCCTGTTGCCCACTCCCCTTTGAGTTTGCACCCTCTTGTGCCAAGCTAATGCTGCTCCTTCACCTACCGGCCTGTAGAAGGGAGATGAATGGCCACCTGGGGTTTCTCTTCTCTGTCCCCCCCTCGATATTTGCTGTGCACAGAAAAGGTGCTGGGATATGTCCCTGGTGAGGGGAATAGGGGTGGTGTGGGTCGGAAGCTGGGCAGAAGCTGGGCAGCCAAGAGCAGAGTCTAGGGGGGTGGACATCTCCAGGAGGTGAGAACTGGACTGCCGGGGGAGGTTTGCACGAGGATCCAAGCAGCGCCTCGGCTGGGAAGGTGGGGCCTGGGGTGGACTGGCCCGTGTGCTATGGCCACCTGCTTGGCGGTGGAACCCATGGGCTGGCCTGTGTGCTTCGTGTCACCTGCTTGGCGGCGGAGGGGTCTTCTGCAGGACCACTGACCGCCTGTCGAGGGGCTGCTTCAGTGCGGCTTGGCTGCTGCAGTCCTCCAGACTTATCTCAGGGTTGCCCTGGAATCTCTTAACCTTCCTGCTTCCATTCAGAGATCTGGCTGTAAAACCCCATGGCTCCCCCCGGGCAGACACTCTCCAGGGGACGGATGCACGCCAGTTAGAAATATCCCCCAAAACCAGGCGGGGGGGGAGCTGCCACGAGCAAACTTGCCAGAAGTACTTTTAGAGGAAACCTCCTAGTTCACGGAAGATGAAAAATTGTGATTTTTAAAGTAACGTCTGGCAGCTGCCTTCAGATGACAGCTATAAAGCCCAAACATTTGCAGGGTCCCAGCTTTCCGCCTGCCAGTCTGGGAATGCAGGGGACCCGCCAGCCAGTCTTGCCCGTCTTCCGGTTGACCAGCGGCAGCGGCAGCGGCAGCAGCACAAAAGCTCATCCTCCATGTCCCCCCACTCATTCCCCCCCAATGAGCAAACGGTTCATTGACCTGTGATTGTCACCCCCCAGCCTCTTCTTATCTAACAATCCTATTCTTTGCGTTATATTTTTCTTTATGGGAAGTTCTGTCCCTTTTGTCATACTTCTTGCATTTCTTTGCTACGTCACTGATTTTCCTGATTTTAATAGGAAGGAGCTTTGAGTTTATTTGTGATAAAGTCAGGTTATAAAATAGGAGCATTATTTTAACAGGGTGGCTTTGAGCCAGCCGCAGTTTCTCCTGCAGCCCTTCCTACTTCACAGGGTCGTCGTTGTGTGGGGATAACACGAAGGGAGTCTCGTAGGTTCCCGGCCTTGAGCTCCCACAGAAGAGCCAGGAGGAAGGGCAATAAATTACAGTTTTGCAGGTGCGTCTTCAGGCCGTTGCTTTCTGGCAAACAGGCGTTTCTGCTCCTTGGGGGTCTCGGCCGTTTGGTGACTCTCCAGATCACATGGGGCAGATCCTGCCTCTGGTTTCTCGGAGTTCCTCAAGCCAGTTCTCGGAGCAGAATATCCACAGATGAATTGTTGGGGGCACCTAACCCCTAAAAGCTGAGCCCTCCAGCCTGCCTGTCTCTTTCTGGCGTGGGGCAAGGGCAGATGGATATGGATGAGCAAGAAAATCGGAGAAGAGGCCTATCTTGGCTTTTTCCCTCTCCAATCTGCAAAGGCAGGTGGCCCTTATTGGAAAACGGAAAATGTTGGCCCCTGGGATCTCCCGGTGGTCTCCCATCCCATCCCGGCCCAGACCAGTCCAGTCAGCTCATGGCGGCTCCTCGGATTCTGCAGGTCTTGCGGGCTTTGAAGCCAAAGCTGCCATCTTTGTAGAGGTTGTTGCCCTTACAACCATCGGTGGATTTGCCGAGCGGGCAACAAAGCCGTTACCAGGACAACGGGTCCTCCTGCGGCAAAGAGGATTGGCGGCCAGGCGGAAGAGCAATACGTCATCCGCTTGGGTTCGCCCATAGATAGGTAAAGGACTAGGAAGAGTTCGCAGCGAGACATGCGCAAGCGCAAGGAAAGCGTCGTCGGTCGGATCCCCAGGAAGGCCCCCCACCGGCGGCCATCTTAGTTGTGGGCAGCCCTTTTGTTCCTCTCGCTCCTGTCGCCGCAGATTCCATCTTTACACGGGGCAACGCCGAAAAGTCCTTGCCAGGCGGGAGGCGGGGGGCCCGTTTGGTCCTCCCTTCTATCCGCGCGGAGCGGGCCCGGGGAAGCAGGAAGGCTCGAGACAGACAC